CACAAAATAATGCATTAAACCACCTTTCTTCAGTAAGACCCTAAGGAAGAAAAGTTCTAAACAGATAGTTTCCCCTTGAATATTGCGTTAAAACTTCCTTTCTTGAAACACTGATAGAAATGCTCTGAGCAGATTTATAGCCCTCTCCTTAATATTGGCTTCGAACCCCTGCTCCATGAAACTAGTGAAAACGTCCTTAGCAGATAATGGCTTTAAACTCTGGCTCCTTGGTACTTTTTTCATTTAAAAGTCTAAGCAAACAAGTGTCCCTCACCAAATATTGCATAAAACTCCTGTTTGAGACGTCTTGATAGTAAAGATAATCCCCCTCCCCATACATTTAACTTTACTTTAAAAGGAAAACTACACTAAAATTAAAAAAAAAACGGGTTGTAACAACCAGAACGCTCCCAGTAGGTCTATGGATGATTTGCAAAAAAAAATGCTGCTAAGAATATTAATCCATCAAAGTAAACCTCAAAATCTGGTTTTAGGTTCAATGTGCAGTTTAGCCAACACATGGTTATCCGACGGTCTCACAGCGCCACCTAGCAATATTAGTCAAAACTGCAAGACGTATCATCATCATCATATACTTTTGTAAGGTAGAGATATTAAAGAAAACAGTATTCGTCGCTCATAGGTGCTTGTCAGCCGTACGTATCCGGCATTTTCGGAAGTTTTCTTTCCAAAATAAACGGCTTGTGATTATTAAGACACTCCCAGTAAGTATGTGGTTGATTTGCAGATTAAACTGCTGTTAAAAGAATATTTATTTATCAGAATATCCCTTCTCAAAGTCCGCCGTTTTACAATTAGATTCAACAGTCTCCAGTTCAGCCAACGTGGTCATCCGAAGGGAGTAAGGGGTGACGCGAGTACTGGAGTAGGGCACGAGAGGCGGGCACAATAGGCGGTCACCACAGGCGGACTGTACCATTTCATGTGCGGGGGAGGGGCAATATCTGAAATTCAATGCCGTGTCCCGTTACACACATTTTTGCCTACTCGCTGCCTCTCTATTACATTACAAAGCACGGAAACATAATTTTTTTGCCAAATATTTTTGGGAGTATTTTGTAAATTACGTAAATTATGATCATATCCGATAGGATTACAATGGGGCATTTGCAATGTGTCAAGCAGGTTTGATTTAACCTCATGATTAAATGGAGAAATGGAAGCTTTTCCGAAGGGTAACATTTTAGGAAATTTTATGATTGTTAACATACATATGCCAGATATATCATATACAATCATATACATGTACAAGAAACTCCGTCATGT